CTGGCCTTCGGACCATGCTAAGGCCTAACTACCTTGTCCTCCTTGGAATACACGTATCCAGCCCCACTTATTGCTTCTCCTACTCGGTGGGAAGTCTCGGAATGCTACACCGAATTTCAGTGCGATCGAAAGTCTTGCAGGAGGTTAAATAAAAAAGTGGTACCCTAGCAATTTTATGAAATGATTACCTGGGTGTCTGGTGGTCACTGACATTTGCCTTACTCTTTTGCATGAGAGTTGTCTTTTGGATCAAGCCAAAAACCAATGCCTCGCAATGTCGCCTTAAATACATATATTCGGACCCAACTTAATGCTTTTTATTTTAAAAGTCAAGGGTCGCCAAATTGTATAAACAAATCGATTGGATTTGAAGAGTTGAGGGGAAGGCTTGATGCTTTTTAACACCCAGTGCAGCTCTAGAAAGTACGATCACGGCATCAAAAATATATTGGTAATAAGTTCATAATAAGAATTAATTTTTACACCAAATTTGCATTAATAATCAGTAATAAATGCGATAATGTCACTTGTTTAAATTCTCTAAACCTCACTTGGCGCTTTTGTCGAGCGTCGTTGACACGGCGTATCGTTTCCTCCTGCGAGCTTCTGTATCTTGAAAATCCTCTACGTAAGGCTATAGTGTTGTCCCTCATAAAAAATTGTCTTTGTAGCTGCGGACTAGATTCTGTGTCGTCGTCCCTAGTTTCTGACGGATATGTAGCTTTCATGGTGCAGTTTTTTGTGTATTATTCATTCGGTAATGATTTGTACAGAACGTGTGGTTTAGCTTGTTTTTCTAGCATTTTGTTTACTTTTATCTGGCTACGCGTATCTGCATTATGATGGCTGATTTTATGGGTGTTTCTTTCTCATCCTGTACTCGTAATTTTGTATGTGGTGTTGAATGGTACAGTTATGCTCATTTACTGCCTACTCTACGAGAGTCCATTGAAATGTGTTTCAGGAAATGGGGGCACTTTTTACTCGATTGTTTGATCGCCTCTTCGGAAAGAAGGAGATGCGCATTCTCATGGTCGGACTTGACGCGGCTGGGAAGACCACCATTCTTTACAAGTTGAAGTTGGGTGAGATTGTCACGACCATTCCCACCATCGGATTCAATGTTGAAACTGTGGAATACAAGAATGTTAACTTCACCGTATGGGATGTGGGAGGCCAGGACAAAATTCGGCCCCTCTGGCGTCACTACTTCCAGAACACTCAAGGTCTTATCTTTGTAGTTGACAGCAATGATCGGGAACGATTAGTTGAAGCGCGAAATGAGCTCAATCGGATGCTCAGTGAGGACGAGCTGCGTGATGCTGTTCTTCTCGTGTTCGCCAATAAACAGGTTCGGTCTGAGTATTTTTTTAAATTGGTGTATCTTCTTTAGGATCTCCCTAACGCCTGCCCAGCCAGTGAGATGACCCAGAAGCTTGGTCTGAATTCGCTCAAGAATCGCCAGTGGTTTATTCAAGCAACTTGTGCTACCACGGGGACCGGTCTGTATGAGGGACTTGATTGGATGGCGAAGGCTTTAGCGGAGAAGAGTCGATAAATCGTTTTGTCGTCCTTTTTCTCTACTACATGCACCCATCTCCGGCAGACTTTCATTTTACCTTGTGTTTTGCACCTTTGTGGTTTTGCTTGAATATACCTTCACACGATTCACACGTCCATTGCTTCCTCTACCTAGTATTGATGGGTAAGGCCCTTGTCAAGTTTACCAGGTTCTCGCATTGTACTTGTGACTGCGGTGAGGACGAACATCCTCAACTACTTTTTGTTCCTTCTAGTCCGAAGTACTCTCTCACTGTTGATCCAAATCTTGGACATGTTTGTTCATTTTTGTAATCACTGTGGTCGATGTACTTTCCATCACTCCTTTAAATTTTAATCGTGCTCTGTATCTGGCGCTTCTTGAATACTATAGTGATGTCTAAAGACCTAGGGGTTGTCGATTTCGCGGGTTCTTGATGTTTGTTTATTGTTTCTTTGACATACTCGATTTTCTTGCTAACTCAGCTGGTAGCGTCCTTACTTTCAGCGAGTGCGGGTCTACCCTGGCTCAAAGGGTTGTGTTGAGATGGCATCTAATGCTTGTTCCCTCATGTGTGCGCCTCGTGTTCATGGTGGATGTTGTTGGTGATGGTCATGCACTGGGATAATTGGGTAGGACTCTTGGCGTATCCCAGTGGAACAGGTTGCTTAATCTACGGTCTAGCTTTGTGGGCTGTGGTCGACATTGAAGTTATAGCAACTGGTGGGACTTCTCGTGGGTTAGTATTTTTGCCTCTGACCACCTTGTTTTATTAAGTTTATCCTAAATTAAGCAGTGTCATTTTTATGTTGCACTACCTATGTATGGGAGAATAGGGTGTATTAAGTGGCTGCAACATCAGTAGGTGTGACGATGAGCCATCAATGTTACTCAAGTACATCCTTCCAAACAGAATTTTACTTGGATTCGGAGTCACTTGTCCTTGCGATCCAAATGAGTGATCAAAACATTTTTTGCCCTAATTGGTTGCATTTTGGGTTATTGCACATTGAAGTGGTGATGGTTCGTGGGACACACTCCAACCACCACTTTCACTGCAATTGCAGCGTATATTCGGGGTGGATGCATACCAGATACTCTCTTCTGCTGTGATAGATGTATTGAGAGCATTAGAGGTAGCTCAACCCTCGGATGTAGCGGAGATAAGGGTGCAGTCGAGGCTATCCTTTTACGCAATTTTCGACTAAATTAACCACTTGCCACCGCATTCATAAAACATCGAACGTGAATCTGTTCGTCTTAGGCGCTGGCATGAGGGTTACTGTGATCCTTTACTCTTGTGGCAACTCTCAATACGTCTTGTCTAAGAAGGAACGAGATGCAGTACTGATATTATCTTTGTAATTAATAACCATGTAGCTAGATGTTTTCATCGGAAAAAAACTTAATATGCTGCGCATGCGTTGCAAAGCAGAGCAGTTTGCTGACTTAAGAAGACCACACCAAGCAAATACCAAAGTGATTCTTGAAAAAATGTGGATTTTTGGTGGAATTGTGCTACAACTTATCAAAAGTTTTGTCAGCTAGTCGAATTGCGCAATACAGGATCACATGCATGAGAGCA